AATCTTCCACTAAATCTTCCTTTCTAGCTGCTCACAAGGCAGTGAAGTACTGAAAGAGGACAATTCCTCACAGGGACAAGGATCAGATGAGAGACCTTAGAGGAATCCTGCTGCTGCCATTGTAAGCTTGCTTAATCTAGTGGCTTCAGGAAGAACAGTACTGGAAATACACACAGAGCCCACTTTGCTATTTGTGAACAACCATGTATGCTCCTTTCCAAAACATACTCATCCAAAATAATTCCTCACTCAAAAGGACTTGAGTCTAAAAATACTGCAGAAATGGAAGTGCCATGAAATGACAGTGAAGAATTACAAGCAGCCAAGTCATTATTCAATCAAGAAATTTGGCACAATCATAAACTATGTACCATCTATTTTAATGGATCTTAATTCTCTTGCTATCAGCTGAAATTCCAAATCCCAAATTGAACAAGGACCAGTGCCAAAACTTGCTAATTTTCTCAATTTTTCTGCCTAAGAACAGTGTTATAAACAACAGCAACCCGTACTGCTCCTGATGAGATTTGCATTCTGTAAACTGATGTTTAATTGTCCCCAGACAATATAAAAATCTTTTGTCCATTTACAGGTAAGGTAAACATTAAAGTCTCTTTATATGTGTGTGTCACAATATAAGTAAAATGTACAGGTCCTCTAAAATGAGGTGGTATCTCCAAATCCAAGTAATCATTCCTAGTAACTGCTTCATTCATAACAGCAATACTTGAGAATAAAATATTATCTTCCTGGACTTTTAAGTCAGTTTCAAGTAAGGCAAGCTTTCTAATCCGCAATATTTATCTCTCTAGAAATTATGTACCGGCAAGAATACAGAAGCAAACTGTTAGAACTACAGATTAGAAAGGAGCTTTCTTTTTGACTTGCTCTTTAACCACATAGTGGCAAATCCGATCCATCACTGTCTTTATTGACTTCATGATAAATATCCAACAGTTTTGTGTAGTGAATTAGATTATGAACACTGTGTGAATGTTCTAAGAATTTTTTGAAAAGAATAAAAGGAAAAATTTTACTGATTTATGTAAGGACGAAGGAAAATTCTATCCCCTGCTTTTCAATAGCAGTTTCCCCTATCATTTTCTATCAGCAGCAAATAAAATCCTAACAAAACTGTATCAGATTATGCCAAATATCTATGCTTAACTCCAACATATCTGTTCTATGAGTGATGAAATGAAAGAGTTTTCGACCTATTTAGGTATCACTTTTTTTTTTTGACAGGCAGAGTGGACAGTGAGAGAGAAAGAGACAGAGAGAAAGGTCTTCCTTTGCCGTTGGTTCACCCTCCAATGGCTGCCGCGGCCGGCGTGCTACGGCCGGCGCATCGCTCTGATCCGAAGGCAGGAGCCAGGTACTTATCCTGGTCTCCAGTGGGGTGCAGGACCCAAGCACTTGGGCCATCCTCCACTGCACTCCTAGGCCACAGCAGAGAGCTGGCCTGGAAGAGGGGCAACTGGGACAGAATCCAGCACCCTGACCAGGACTAGAACCCGGTGTGCCGGCGCCGCATGGCGGAGGATTAGCCTAGTGAGCCACGGCGCCAGCCTAGGTATCACTTCTCACTAACAAAACCTAAGCCAGATTTACAGGTTAATGTCTGCAATGTGGAAAAGTAGATGGGGGCAGTCAAGAAAGCATAAAATATGTAATATCTTTACTGCAAAGATCCTATGATAATATTTCTTAATGAGTCCACTAATCTGTGTTCTATAGAGGAGATACTATGAAAAGGCAGAGGTGGCCAACACAGACTGAATGTGATCTCATTAAGATCTTGTGTGAAGGGGCTGGCACCGTGGTATAGCAGGTTAAGCCTCCGCCTGTGGTGCCAGCATCCCATATGGGCGCCGGTTCATATCCCAGCTATTCCACTTCCAATTCAGCTGTTACGGCCTGGGAAAGCAGTAGTAGAAGATGGCCCAGGTACTTGGCCTTCATCCATCTGGGAGACCTGGAGGAAGCTCCTGGCTCCTGGCTTGGATTGGCTTGGCTCCGACAGTTGCAGCCATTTGCAGAGTGAAACAGCAGATGGAAGACCTTTCTTTCTATCTCTCTCTGACTGTAATTCTACCTCTCAAATAAATAAATAAATAAATACTTTAAAAAAAAAAAAAAGATCTTTAAAAAAAAAAGATCTTGCATGAAAATAAAAGTAAATCAACCTACTTTTATACCTTCATAATTTTTTTAAAGAGTCTAATTTGGCACTCATGTTTATTGTGCCATAAAAAATAGGGGCCAGCACTGTGGCATAGCGGGTAAAGCTGCCGCCTGCAGTGCCAGCATCCCATATGGGAGCTGGTTCAAGTCCTGACTGCTCCACTTCTGATCCAGCTCTCTGCTATGGCCTGGGAAAGCAGTACAAGATAGCCCAAGTCCTTGGGCCCCTGCACCCATGTGGGAGACCCGGAAGAAGCTCCTGGCTTCTGGCTTCAGATCAGTGCAGCTCCGGCCATTGCAGTCAATTGGGGAGTGAACCAGTGGATGGAAGACCTCTCTCTCTCTCACTGCCTCTCCTTCTCTCTCTGCGTAACTCTGACTTTCAAATAAATTAATATTAAAAAAAGAGGAAATAATGGTTAATTAGAACTATGGCACTCAAAAATTGAACAGGAGATTCATGAACTCTATCTTTAATACAGCTTTTGGGGAAAGAGAATAATCAAGCTTGGCAAAGATAAAGGGAAAATAAAAATATTTAACACATAGTATGAACTACAATACAAAATAGAAAGCCTGAATAAAAAGTTACCCATTAAGAAAGATATAAAATTAACAAGAAATATGATCTATTAATGGAAACATTTAAATTTTTGTTGATGAATTTCTGGTTATTTTCTAAAAACAAAACAGGGAAAAACCCTCATTCCTATTTTTCTAGGTATTAACTCACTGGCAAAACCATAGGCTCTGTAAAGTAGTTCTTTCACTTCTTAATACATGGGCTATCTTAAATTTGAATATACTGTAATTTCCTTCATCATGAGGTACTGGAATCCTTTGGAAACAACTATTAGAACACGCCTGAATTTTACTGCTTGGTGCTCAGATGTTATTTTATTAAAACAAATAGTCTTAGCTCCTAAAACTTAACCTCTACTCCTCATTTACTTAACATTCCTGCCTTCAATGTTGTCATCTCATCATTTTAGCAAACATAATGCTATATACTCGAGCTCCCTAACCATAACATAATATTCCCAAAGTCCTAGGGAATTAGGAGCTCTTATGTAAGGATTTTAACTGTTAACATTCACTTCTTCCATAACATCAACAGAGTAATCTACCACTAGTCCAAGAATGTTCACTCCAGGATCCATCTTTCTTTTTGAATCTTCTCCCTACCCAGAATTAGAGGCACTCAAGACTAAGGGGCCTATTCTAAGTCTGGCCATCCAACTGACAAATAACTGAAGCTACTTGAAAATTACAAGACTTATCCTTGTCAACAGTTTAAATGAGGCGATCACATATCTGGTCTTCCTGAAAGCGGCACACTGCCAGAAAAAGCATCTCAGAAAACAGAATATATGCAATACAGAGCACTAGGACTGTTATGGTCATCTATTTTTTTTTTTTTTCTCATTTTAAATTTCTGTGCGATGTTAATGATGGTTGTCTTGGGCATATGTTGTGGCGCATCAGATTAAGCCACTGACTGTGACACCAGCAACCCACTTGGGGGCCAGTTCGAGTTCTGCCTTTCCCACTTCCAACTCAGCTCCATGTTAACATGTCTAGAAAAGCATGTTGGTGCTGGTGCCCCAACACTTACATGGGAGACCCGGAAAGAGTGCCAGGCTCCTGGCTTCAGCCTGGCTCAGCCCTTGCCATTGTGGCCATTTAAGGAATGAACCAGTAAATGGAAGATCTCTCTGTCTCTGTCCCTGTCTTTCTTTCAGTCTCTCTCTAACTCTGGGTTTCAAATAAATTAATAATCTTAAAAAAAAATAGTTGTCTTGGGATGATGGAAAGGCCCTTCTTCATTTTCCATTGCAGTACCTTACAAAGTCCAAGATGAGTAAGAACTACTTGCTAGGTATTTTTCCTTTGCCTCATCAGATTCTCCTTCCACTCAGCTCTGGGTGCTGGGAAACCAACATTTATGGGTCACATCGAACATCTCCTTCCCCATCCTACATGGGTCTAGCTAGTGGGAAGCATTCAAGAACTCTAGGAATTTGGAGAAAACAAGAAAGAGGCTACAGTATATTCTCCTTTCTTCCAGCTAGGAAATATTGAAATAAGAATTATTCATAAACCACTGCAGTTTAAACAATAAACCAAATGTCTAAAGCAAAGTAGGACTTTCAACACTGAAACACAGAAGTAAACATGTAAGTAAAACTACTTGGCATTAACTAATATTTAAAAAAACATGAAAAAAAAACCATGATAATTTTTAAAGGAAGGAGAAAATGAGAAGTCTTTACAGATTATAGCTATACATTATATATAATGTACAATATTATACTACTTAAGCTATAGCTTAGATAATATAAATCAAAGTACAGCCTAATAGGACAGTCTATGAATTCATGAAGTTTGTTGAACTGTACTTAATTTCTAAACTTTGGGGTCAATGATCTTCAGTCATTATTTTTCATTTCAAAATGTCTTTAGATCATGTATCACTTCAGTTGACCACAAAATATTTTACCTAAAGGTTAAGATACATAACACCCAGTAAAAAGCAGAGTCATTCCAAGCCATCAATCCAAGTATGTATCTTACACCTTGGCTTAAAATTACACAGCTGCCTTTAAACCAAGAAATAAGTAAAACAAGATATTACTGATAGAAATAGCAATTCCACTGACAGCAATAAGTTTACAACACTACTTTTTTCATATAGAACTGCATAAAAACCAAAAATATAACACAACTAAATATGAAGAATATTAGTAACATATCACAATTATGCAGAATTTTGAAAATTTGAAAATACAAATACACATATAAAATTTTATTTTTACCTGTTTTGCAATTTCTCTTAAACAGGCTACTCCTTGTTCAAAATTAGGGAAAGCTACTGAGCCATACTTCTGGTATTCTGGGACTGGTCTGATTTTTATTGTAGCTTCTGTTATTACACCAAGAGTTCCTGAAAAAGAAGGGAAAGTAATCCAATATACAACACATTAATTTTTTTAACTTTTATTTAATAAAATTTCCAAAGTACAGTTTATGGATTACAATGGCTTCCCCCCCCATAACTTCCTTCCCACCTGCAACCCTCCCATCTCCCGCTCCCTCTCCCATTCCATTCACATCAAGATTCATTTTCAATTCTCTTTATATACAGGAGATCAATTTAGCATACATTAAGTAAAGATTTCATCAGTTTGCACCCACACAGAAACACAAAGTGTAAAATACTGTTTCAGTACTAGTTATAGCATTAATTCACATTGAACAACACATTAAGGACAGAGATCCTACATGAGGAGTAAGTACACAGTGACTCCTGTTGTTGACTTAACAAATTGACACTCTTGTTTATGGTGTCAGTAATCACCCTAGGCTCTAGTCATGAGTTGCCAAGGCTATGGAAGCATTTTGAGTTTGCTGACTCCGATCTTATTCAGACAGGGTTCATAGTCAAAGTGGAAGTTCTCTCCTCCCTTCAGAGAAAGGTACCTCCTTCTTTGATGGCCCATTCTTTCCACTGGGATCTCACTTGCAGAGATCTTTCATTTAGGTCATTTAGGCTTTTTTTTTTTTTTTTTTTTTTTTTTTTTTTTTTTTTTTTTGTCAGAGTGTCTTGGCTTTCCATGCCTAAAATACTCTCATGGGCTCTTCAGCCAGATCTGAATGCCTTGAGGGGTTAATTCTGAGGCCAGAGTGCTGTTTAGGACATCTGCCATTCTATGAGTCTACTGTGTATCCTGCTTCCCACGTTGGATTGTTCTCTCCCTTTTTTATTCTATCAGTTAGAATTAGCAGACACTAGTCTTGTTTATGTTTATCTCTTTCACTCTCAGACCTATCATTATGATCCATTATGAACTGAAATTGATCACTTGGACTAGTGAGATGGCAGCACAGTAATTTTTAAAGTTGCTTTTGAACTTATTTAATCTATTTATCCCATTAATTTACTCTATTACTCATACTTAAATCTATTTAAGCTCCTCTATTCGAGAAATAATGACTACTCAAGTCTTTTTGGGAAAACAATATTTTATGATAAAAAATGTGTTTGGGATGTTTTTCTCAGCTATATATAAATATTTTAAAACATTTTAAAGTAACCTTTCTCAAAGACTTCTACGTGGCTTTCAAGAATTACAACTTAATAAAAGAAAAAACTTGAGATTTTAAATCTCATATTTTTAGACAAAAGTATATTTTGATATTTGTGCCTATTTTTAACTATGTAAATAACTTATTGGGGACAAATGATACAAATATACACTTCCTAAAAGAACAAATCCAAATTATCAACAAATTTATGAAAAAATGCTCAACATCATTAGAATTAGGGAAATACAAATCAAAACACAATAAGGTATCATTTTGCTCCAACTAGATTGCCCATGACCAGTAGCCATTGTTGTGGTACAGCAGGTTAAGTGCAGCATACCACATTGGAGTTCCAGTTGACTCCCAGCTATTCTGCTTCTAATCCAGCTTCCTGCTAATGTACATGGTAAAGCAGCAGAAGTTGGCCCAAGTATCTGGGTCCCTGCTACCCACATAGCACACCAGGATGGAGTTCAGGTTCCTGGCTTCAGCCCACCCACACCTGGCTGTTGTGGCTATTTGGGAAGTGAACCAGTGGATGAAAGATTTCTATCTGTGCTCTTTCTCTCTTTTTTTAAAGACTTATTTATTTATTTGATAGGCAGAGCAGAAAGAGGGAGATCTTCCATCCACTGATTCACTCCCCAAATAGTTGTAACAGCCAAAGGTGTGCTGATCTGAAGCCAGGAGCCAGGAGCTTTTTCTGGGTCTCCTATATGCGTGCCAGGGGCCCAAGGACTTGGGACAACTTCTACTGCTTTCCCAGGCCATAGCAGAAAGCTGGATCAGAAGTGGAGCAGCTGGGACTCGAACAAGCACCCATACGGGATGCGGCACTGCAGCAGTGGCTTTACCTGCCACGCTGCAGCATCGGCCCCAAAAGTAAGTAATTCTTAAAAGAAAAGAAAAAAAAGCTATGATCAAAAAGAAAAAATTGAGAGGATATGAAAAAAGGGAACCCTTCTATGCTATTGGTAGGAATGTAAATTAAGACAGCAGTTCCGAGCCGGCGCCGTGGATCAATGGGCTAATCCTCTGCCTTGTGGCGCCGGCACACCGGGTTCTAGTCCCGGTCGGGGTCCCGGATTCTGTCCCGGTTGCCCCTCTTCCAGGCCAGCTCTCTGCTGTGGCCTGGGTGTGCAGTGGAGGATGGCCCAAGTCCTTGGGTCCTGCATCCCATGGGAGACCAGGATAAGTACCTGGCTCCTGCCTTCAGATCAGCGCGGTACGCCGGCCGCAGTGCACCAGCCTCAGCGGCCATTGGAGAGTGAACCAACGGCAAAGGAAGACCTTTCTCTCTGTCTCTCTCTCTGTCACTGTCCACTCTGCCTGTCAAAAAAAAAAAAAAAAAAAAAAAAGACAGCAGTTCCTTGAAAAACTAAAAATATATCTAATCATACGATACAAGCATCCCACTTCTAGGTATAGGTACATATAGCCAAAGGAAATGAACTCAGCAGATCAAAGAGATACTTGCACCCCCATATTTGTTACTACACTATTCAATCATAGCTAAAATATGGAATCTACCTAGGTGCCCATCAGTAGTTGAAAAAATAAAGAAAACATGGTGTATATATACATAAAGGAGCATGATTTATCCATAAAAAAGAATTATAGCTTATCTTTTGCATCAAAATGAATAGAGAAGACACTGTGTCACAGAAAGACAAATACTACAAGTTCTCTTTCATATGTAGAAGCTAAAAAAAAATAGTTCATCTGTACATAGAATAGTGATAACTAAGACTAACAGGAGAGAGGGAGACTGATATTAGGTACCGAAACACAGCTACAGTTAGAAGGAATAAATTCTACCATTCTATATCATGGTGGGGTAACTATAATATACAATTACCTTTTATATGCTTTATAAATTAATACAAGTGAGAAGATCAAAGCTCCAAAATAAAAAAAAAAATGACAGGGAGATAGAAAAATTTACACTCCAATTTTATAAATATACATTGTATACATTTATTGAAATATCACACTATATTAAAGATTTATTTATTTGTATGAAAGAGTTACACAGAGAGAGAAGGAGAGGCAGAGAGAGAGAGAAAGAGAAAGAGAGGTCTTCTATCCGCTGGTTTACTCCCCAGTTGGCTGCAACAGATGGAGCTGTGTCAATCTGAAGCCAGGAGCCAGGAGCTTCTTCCAGGTCTCCCACACAGGTGCAGGGTGCCAAAGACTTGGGCCATCTTGTACTGCTTTCCCAGGCCATAGCAGAGAGCTGGACTGGAAGTGGAGCAGCCAGGTCTTGAACTGACGCCCATATGAGATGCCAGCACCGCAGGCGGTGGCTTCACCTACTACGCTACAGTGCCGGCCCTCACACTATACTTCATAAATATTTAAAATTACTAAGCATTAGTTAAAAAAAAATGTTAAGTGTTGAAGGAGATGGTAATGTTAACTACCCAGATTAGATTTAGGTTATTACAATTATATACATGTATCAAATTATCAATGTAATACATAAATATGTACAATTAAAATATTTAAAAATAAAAAACTTAAAATTACTTCCATAAAACAAAAAAAATCCACAATTTACTGGGACACAAGAGGCTAACCTTCTGAGAAATTAAGGTAGAAAATATTTGAAGAAATATTATCTTGCCTTTTCTCCTAAGAATTAATACAAAGGACAAAGACATTACTGATATAAGAAACACATATTCAGAAATAAAATGGTTATCATAAATACAGAGCACCAGAGGATGGCAATGAAACAAATGTTCCTTTCTTTATTATAGGGCAGAGTTGGCCATTAATCAGAGAGGAAAAAAAGAAACAATCATGTGGTATAAACATCTATGGTAAAAATATTTGAACAGACGAGACAAAAAGGATTATATTCACAAAGCCAAGTTTTTCAAATTGGTGATCTGTGATATGCAAATGCCGACAATTAATAATGCTATTAGTAAACTTTCTCAGAATCATTTAAAAAAGAGTAAAGAACATGAAAAATCTTTGGAACAGTGTAATTTAACTATGTAATACAAGAACAAATCTTCCAAAAATGTCTAATACACTAAAAACAACTTGATGGGGCCAGCACTATGGTGTAGCAGGTAAAGCTGCTGCCTGCAGTGCCAGCATCCCATATGGGCACCAGTTCAAGACCTGGCTGCTCCACTTCTGATCCAACTCTCTGCTATGGCCTGGGAAAGCAGTGGAAGATGGTCCAAGGCCTTGGACCCCTGCACTCACATGGGAGACTTGGAGGAAGCTCCTGGCTCTGGCTATGGATCAGCGCAGCTCTGGCTGTTGCCGCCATTCAGGGAGTGAACCAGTAGATGGAAGACCTCTCTTTCTCTCTCTCTCTGCCTCTGCCTCTCTGTAACTCTTTCAAATAAATAAATAAAGCCTTTAAAAATAATTTATTTTTTAAAAAAACCACCTCTCAACATATAAGATTAAAACCTACTGAACCCACAAAAAATACATTATACTACACTAGATCTTAATATATTCACTACCTGAAACACATGATAACCTACTTAGATTATAAAATACGACCCTCTTAAGACTTGTATGATCATAACAGTTTTGCAAGTTTGACCTGATTAACATTTTAATATGAAATAGATATATCTAAAATTTAAAAGAAAAAGTGACTAAACTTTCCCTTTTGTTTTATTATCTTTATCAAAATATAATTACAGACAATGATCCCCAATTTCAAATACAAAACTCAATACACAGATTTATACAACATCACTACAATTTTAGATCATTTTCATTACTCCACCAAAGAATCCCATACCCACTAATCAGTCCTCATTTCTACCTCAACATTCTACCCCTAAGCAAGCACAAATCTTTCTGTTAATAGACAAATGCTTA